TATAAATAAAAGTAACCAAATATATATATATATATATATATATATATATATATATATATACATAAGGCTTTAATAAGTAAACATTTCTAATGAAATGCTATATATGATTAAGTCTTATATATTATATAAAAAAATAAACTAAAATGAAGGGTATAAAATATTATAAATGAAATATCATTAAATATTATAGCATATGTAAGTATCATGCAATATTAAAAAAGATAACAAAAATTCAAATAAAAAATAAGGTTTTGTTTATTCCCCAGTTTCGGTGGCATTGTTCCACACTACATCTGTGATACAGACATGTACACTTTGTTTTATTTGCAAATATTATAGCATTTAAATAGAACGCTTCACGCCACGAGATGTAAACCAAGCAAAACTAACACCATGATAAGCTAGCATTTTTAAGGCCTGAGATTCCTTTGCCATGAGAGGAAAGATCAGTCTGGTAAGTGGTCTCTGCTCTGATCTGGTATAAAAACAGGTAATTTTAAACCTGTCTTGCCTCCCTGCTTTGTGCATGTGTTACGAAATTATATTGCCGTCGCAACTATGTGCTGCAATTGATGTGACATCAGTTCTGACCAGATTTTTTACATCTACTGATCACTCCACCCTATAGCTTTCAACAACAGGAAACATTCCCTTAATATATTTGTTATGGCATTATTATCAGATATCTAAGACCTTTGCATGTCATATTCATGCAAAGTCCTGTTGCCCACAGCACTGGGCGAAGAATGAGTGAGTGCAAGGGAATTGAAGATTTCACATCAATCACTACGACACACAGACAGGGTATCAAGGAAAGATAGCAAACAGAGGAATGTCTTCGGGTGCTGCTGCACTGAGGATTCATGGGAGTTCTCTCAGATGCACCTCAAGGTTGGAACGCTCTTCACAAAAATATTTTAAGCGCTCGTGGTCGCTGCACGCAAATGAGGCAGTGAACGAGCTGTTTGAAAACCATTTTCCTACCTGCTGTGCTTTTGCTTTTTGTCCCTGCTCTGCACATATGAAAGGCCTGCTGACCCACTGTACTGGCAATGAACCAGCTGTTTCGCAAGTGAGTTGAAAATGAGCATGCATTTTTATAAAGCTATGCTGAGGTGTGGGGCAGTTTGTGATCTCCTGAGCTTTCCATGGCCGGCGCGCGTCTGGCCGCAGGAGTATGACCACCAGCTGCACCGCTGGCCTGTCTGGTTCTGGTCGGCTCAGTCCGCCGGGAATCAGCAGTAGCTATCCTGTCCTGTTTCACCAACGCGCTTTACCAGCGCGTGGTGGGCCCATCGAGCTGGAGTAGCTGGTGAGCCCCACCGATGGCAGCTAGCTGCCGCCCCCGCCGCCGCCGCCGCCGCCTCCACCACCTACCCGACCGGCTGTCGGTCGCCCGTCGCCTTGGTGGCGGTGCAGTGGTGTTAGACTGCTGCTGCCACTGCCCCCCCCCCCCCCCGGACCTGGTGTGCGGCGCCCGAAAGACCTACGCGGTGTGCTAAAGCCTGCCGCGCGACCACCTCGTTCCGTTGAAGGCGAAGGTGGACTCGAAGTGTGCTGGCGTCTGCGTAGACCTCGGCCGGCGAGCGTAGTGTCTTCCATCCGTTCGTCGAGCGCCGCACATCCGTTGCCGCGGCTCAGTGTCACGACCGGGCTGGTGAAAGTGCTCGCACGGAACAATATTATGTGTGACGAAGACGGACTGGTGGCTCATAGCGCCCGCCAGCACGGGCTGCTGCGTAGACGCCGGGAGCCAGCGGACTGTTGCATGAACGGTCATAAGACCACCGCGGTGAATGAGGAGCTGGCTGACCGTTCCTTGCTGTGTGATCCTTATCGATGGTGTTGGAATGTGCTCCAAACAGTTGGTGTAATGTTTCGTTCAGAAACGCTCTTCACCAACTTGCGTTTTGGGCTTGTCGAGTATTTTATGCGGACGTTTTCACTGCGCTGAGCTGAGGATCAGCACACCCATGGATTAGGCAAAAAGTTGGTATCTTACACTGCTGAGTGCATCAGTAGACAGGGCCTCAGGAATAAGAGGGGAGGGGACGGGAGGAGAGCAAGGGCCAGGGGTCTTAGCCCCAAATGTAAGAACATGTAGCATGACCACTATGGACGTTGACTGTAAATGAATAATCGAGAAGGGCTGCCCGCCATCCATCCTGATAACTCGGCAGCACATTGCAGTAGATATGCTCCTTTTCGCTTGAAAAAAAACGCGTTGTACTGCAGCCACGCGGTGCGAATGGGCATTGCTCAGTGACCACCGGTGGGTGCGCAGTTGTGTCGGTGCACAGTGCGGGGTTCTGTAGTCGATTTCCGCAACCGCTGACCAATTGCGGTAGTGTTCGTCTGCGACTCTCTGTGACATTGTTATCAGGTCTGGTGGTGACCAAGCCCAAGGTCTGATTGGATGACTGTGGACACTGAGAAACGTAACATAGCACGATCAGTTTTGAATGCTATTCACATTCATGATGTGTACGTGTCCCTGTGATTCTGGCCATATTCGAGCATCTATTATGATTCCTAGCGTGCATGTACCTATCTTATTACCGGGATTCAGTAGTGTTCTTCAACCACTACCGTACTTTTTACCAAAACGTTTGTTTCCATTTAAACGCGTGATTTCACAATGCATCATCATTTTAATATTCACTTGATTTGATGTGATCTTGGGCTGGGTGAGTTTTGAATGCGGTCAACAGTCATGCCACTGCATTAGCACCTCTTTTTTAAAGATGTAATCCAAAACCTTATGGATGGATTTCTGGGATCAGACCTCACGCTGCGCCGCGCTTGCTGTGCGAGCTCTGACTCCCACCATGCCACTGCGCAATTCCATGTCAACAACACATTTGGCTGGAAAAAAGTTTGACGTGCTGCCGTGCTCGGCACAGTACGTCCTCTCTAACCTCACCTCACCTTCTGCGTTGTCGCTGCTAGCAGCCTCAGACCACACCTGTCGAGGTGAAATAGCGAGCGCCAAAGCCGACCCGAACTCAGCCCGCCGCGGGTGGGCGGATCAGAATGCAAACTCTCTAACCAACTGTGCCTTCGGTGCGGGCTAATTGAAATAGCCGATGGAGGGTCAGTTTGTATTTCAAAACTCCGTGGCACGCTGTCTGTTTTCAAAGCATACAAGCAACCTGTGTTGCAGCTCTAAAATGCAGTGTCACCGGGGTTAAATGCCATTGCTGGCAAGATTACGAGGAATGGTAGCGATGCTCTGATAAAATAGGGTATTAAATCATAAGATAATTTATTTACCCTAGAGAGAATGGGAGCTCTTGCTTTCCATAGCAACGTATCTGAGTGGAACTCATTCATATCAAGTTTTCAGCGCGATCATTTCATCGGAAAATATGTTAGTGGAATAGGTGGTTGAGTTACGTTCAATGTAGCGTGCTATGTGTGGCTAAGAACTGAAATCACTACATGCTGCATGTTTAAATGTGCTTTTCTGAGTTGATGCCTTATTTGAACATTAAAGGACTCTTTAGTGATGATTTCCTATTGATTTATTTTCGATCCGTTCAACCCATGTGAGCTGGCAAATTGGAAAATCCGGTCCAGCCCTGATCCGTAATTTGCTAGTTATTTCTGATTCGGTCCAATCCAGCGTTCAAAATGACTTACAACCCGCGGATTTATCTTATCTGTTAGGACGTGAGACTAACAGATACACACATGAAGTGTCTTCCATCAGGTAAGATGCTCGTTTTACTTGTTCAGAAGGCGTATTAGATGGGCGTCTTCCTGCGCTTGTGAAGTGGGTACCACTGAAACTTTCGGGAAACACGCATAGATATCTTGCACTTAACGTGAACTCCGAAAATTCTAGGTGATGTGCTCATGTTTGTCCCTGCAATGTGGTGGAACTTGTGAAGTATTGGATAACATAGTTGTGAATTGAGGGATGTTTTATAAGATGAGGAGCCTTGTTTGTTCCGATGTTTATGCAACTTTACACTCCCGACAGGCAAGTAGCCGTGCTAAGTAAACTGACTGCACAATATCATTCCAATGGAAAGGAAAAAATGACAACAATTTCGGACACTTAATGTAACCAAATGACCTTTGGAAGTTTCAAAAGATCCTAATGTGGAAGCAGATTGTCACAGATTCGATCGGAACATTTCTCTTGCAATTCGTTGTGGGCGTCGACGGGCGTTTAAACTACCTGTTATGCTTGTCCACAACAATGGAGAGAGAGCAAGAGCAAGAGCAAGAGCAAGAGCGAGAACAAGAGCAAGAGCGAGGGAGAGGGAGAGAGAGAGGGGGAGAGGGAGAGGGAGAGAGAGAGAGAGGGAGAGACAGAGAGAGGAAAAGAGGGAGAGAAAGAGACGTTAATGATATCGTCCGTAGTTACAGTAAAACGGCAGTGTTATCTCACGGAGAGTTAATTGTTGTTTGTGCGCTCCTGTTTTATGTTCTGACCTTTATTGCTGCCGACATGACGCGAAGAACTAATAATCGCTCTCGCTTTTGAGAAAAGATAAAGGATTTATCGGAAACGTTGCACTACGAATATATCCAATGACACATTTGTCTTGGTTGGCTACATTCAACCTGATAGACGATTCGAAAAGAAACCTTCGAAAGATGAAAAAGTCTAACCGGAAGTTATTCAAAGCACCGTTCCTGCTCTTACTGGTCTATGGAAACGCGGATAAAGATATAAAGGTAAAGATACATCAATGTACATGTTGCGTTCTTACAGTTATCTAAGCCATGCTTTGTAAAAGTTAGCACGATTAGTCTCGGTGATGAACCATCAGAGGATTTTCGGACAGGCGATAACACTGCGTTTGCCAATAAAGGTACAACTTCCACCATCGTGCCATGGCAGATCTTATGATAAACCTAGCTCAACGAGTACATATACCGTAATAACAGCATTTCCTAAACTAAGGCCCCTAGGAGGGATTGAACGCTAAGCACGGCACGTTGTCCACGTTTCTACAGTACGCGCCGAGCCGTTACCGAGCACTCACCGAGAAATACGGATCCAGAACGGGCTGCTTTTCGTCATCCTCACTTTGTCGTCCCAGGCCGACCATAGTGCTCGGTCTTCGGATCGTAGCACCAGCGGTTCGCTCGCTTGACACAGCACGGCCCCACGCCAGTCGTCGCGACACCGCGGCGCGGCGCCCTGGGCCACTGGTGTCGGTCGGACCAACTAAAGCTTCTGGTTCACATGCGGCAGTGGTCGCGGCGCTACAAAACTGCCTTCTCACCAGACGCGTACGCGGTGCGGGAGGTGCGCCGCGCCCGCAAGTCGTCCGCACATGCACGTGTCGCTGAAAGTCCAAAGGGGTTTGTTTAGAACGCTCGCTATCTTACGGCTCATTGTGTAACATCACATGGACTTTGACGGTGTTTGCTTTCTGTCTTGTGTACGCAATGGTTGGCCTGCACACACAGCTCTCACGCTCACAGCTCTCACGCGAGCTGTAATAGCTGACCAGACCACTTACCTTCCGACCGTCTAAGAGCAAGAGCTTGAGCCACTCCACACGCGCATCACCGCACTGACATCCACTGCAGTCGGGCACCGCCTGAGGTCGACTGACCTGGACCGAGGCCGGTCCGCACGCTCTGCGAATGGTAGTCGACCCTATACCCATGCGGTGACGCCCGCGGCAGGGCCCGGGTCCGCCTTGACGAAGGCTGACTGCGGTGGTCCCAGACATGCCTGCACCTGGGAATAATGGTCCATCCATTCGCCTCACTATATTAAATGTTAAGTGTTGCCAAAATAAGAGCTCTCAGCTGTCAAAAACTATCAGGCATCTACATGATGATCACCATCTTGAGGTGACAAAACGAGCATAGTCGAGCAAGTCTTTGGGTTGATCTGGACTACAGACACAAGTTTTCAATCCGCCAACCTGCAACATCTGACCTGCAGGAACCCTCGGCTTTTGGCACGGTTGTGGGCTAGGCTTGGAAAGGTTTTGTAAGTCAAACGTTTTAACAGGTAAAATGATGATCTGTTTTGCTATTACTTAACATAATCCCTATCAAAATGTCAGAGAGGGCCTGCCAAGCACAATACAAGTATCAAAAAATAATTTTCACTTCTACATTTATAACATCAGCAACAAGAAAACACATAGCAGGCTTAACACCAGTTTACCGGGTCACATAAACTTGACCACTTGAGGACAAACATTTTATTGAAAAACTCAAGAATAACAACCCTGACTTTCAAGGTTTGGCCTGATTTTATTGAGCAGTAGTGGATGGGTTACCGATAGCAGAACATCTACTCACTGCATTTGGCTATCATTGTGGGGAAAAGTGCGTTCAAACTTTCTTGTTTCATACAAAAACCACCATGCCTCCTAAATCCCAATTAACATCAATGACCAATGAAACGGATGAGAAACTGTGTGCCTTCCATTGCCCTGGCCTCACTCACCTGTCAATACAGTACGCATTTTCTGGTGTACCAAATGCGCAACAATTGTCCGAAATTGAAAAAAGTGTGAGCACAGAGTTTGTCCATTTAGGCCTGACAAAATATGCAGTTAGCGGCCACGATAATAGGGCTCTTACATATGATACGTAGAGCTGCCGTCAGTAACCTGCGTGAAAAGTGACAAGATTTACTTGACATGGTTTCTGCATTGTTTGTGGTAGGAATTTTGCTGTAGCAATTACCGATATCTCAATTTTTGTGTCATTGCTAAATTCGATGTCACTGCAGGGGCAAACATTCGTGGACAAAATATTACTATAATCCTAGCTTGTACACAGTACCACACTAACGGCACGGCGACGGTTGTGGGATGAAACATGCATGGTGGTAAGAGGGAAATGTTAATCATTTCAAAGCTACCATGTGGTTTTTATTCCGTGTTGTTGTATGACGTAACCATTTAAGAACAACAAGCACCATATACGAGTCTGTATCTGGCTCTTGGGCGGGGGTTATGACATTGTAGCGAATTTGACGCATTCAGATGGTGTTGGTTTCAATGCACAGTGTAATGAAATAATGAGAGTCCCTACGGCTCTAAGCGTCCGGGATTTTTATTGTTAGTGCAATGCCAGCAGTTTATGTTTGGATTTTAGAAGAAATGGTCTGTGGTCTATTGAAATGATGTAGAAGGGTGAAATCTCAAATACATTTTGGTGGGACACAGACTCAAGTTCCACCCTCTTTCTTTTCATTTGTAGCTAAAACTGGCATCATAATGTTGCAGATTTACTCTGGTGTGGTGATTTCATTGCCCAGGTTCTCTGATCATTGCTCTCAGCAACAACGCTGGTGCTAGACAAACAATGTTGCGAGTTAGGTGACACTGACTTGACATTTTATGGACACTTTTTCGGCAGATGCGCAGACTATTTCGAGGAGACTATTTCAATGTCACCAAGGCATCCATATCGCTGCGACAATGTCATTCAAACCCTGCCAGTCATTGGCCATGAGGCGGTCAATGTCGAAACAAATATAAGTATCGAGTCGTTCATACCTGGCGGCTGTGAACACAATTTCCGCATATCACGGCTGCCAGTTGGCCCCCAATCAGTGTTGTTCAAGGTAGGACGGCATAACCAATCAGTGACGTATTGAGGAGCACGTTTACTAAACAGAGAAGCTAAATTGTCTGGAGCAGCCTTTTACCCTTATAAAATTAAAAGCATTCCAACAGCTGCAAGTGGACTTATTTCATCACATCTGATATGTGCTTCGATATATTCGATGTAGAACATTTTCTTTAAGAAGGACTGACCAAATACAGAGCGCAATAACATAGTACTTGGGGGGTTTATGGCGGGTTAACCTTGCAGCACCGCGAGCTTTTGTGGGCTGGATCGCCAGCTGGGCGGGGCTGGCCGGGTTGATAAGCTGGAAAAAGTTTGATGTCTGATCTCGACAGATTTTTAAAGCGCAGTCTAGCGTATGTGCCGTCGCAGGTGGCTTAGTCATATGATTCATGTGATCCTGTCAGAGAAGGACCGCAGCCTTCAAGTTAAGCATTGAAATACAGACGGTGCGAATCTGGCGCGAATCGCGTTTTATGTTCGCAAAAAGCGCCTTCTCGGATTGTGCAAAGTATGCATTGTTCCACATGCCTTTACGAGTCTCGGCTTGGCCTCCTTTCGCTGCAGCCTGCTCAGCTACACGGTACAGAAGCGGCGAACAGCACCGCTGCTGATCCCATGACACGCCTTATCGCAAAATCACGTGAGGCCCGCAAACCTGCTGTACCAAGAGGACCAGCTGTTGCAGTCCACCGCTGCGGTCCTCTGTCTGGTATCCAGGCCGAGGAACGTCCCGGCCAGTGTCAGCAGGCGCGGGAGAGATGTTGGGCACAACTTTGTATGGTTCGTTGATGCCCGCACTGAACCAGCTGCTACGACCTGGGGCTTACATCAGTATGCGCCGTTGTCTCCCTAATGCCATGTCCTGGTTCCGCTCGTGTCGTTCCCTGGTTTCTTTCCTGCCATGTCCTGGCTACGCTCGTGGCATTTGCTGTATCTGTCTTTGTACTGTGCCCTCATGCAGCATAGAAAACCTGACCGAATAAGTAAACAGCTATTATAGGATCAAACACACGGACTTCAGCATCGAAAGCTACGTCAGTTGATCATTTCTTACTGTATCCTTTAATGATTAGGTGGGTAGGAGTGTCTTCTATGCCAGTGTGGTACAATTATTTTATGCAACTGAAGTCTGAAGTCATGCTTCATAGCGAAGTTGGATTGTGCCATGCTGCGCTCCTTTTTCTGCTGCTTGCGCCCCACGCTCCACCATTGTTTCCATGAAAGTGTCTAAAAGGCCCACAATATATAGTGACATATAGTGACATATAGGCATCAGGCCAACAAAGAGCCACAAAGGTTACCCACCGAGGTTGGTCTACCCCAGGTTCCGCCCGCACCCACCCTTGATTCTAATGTTATTACGTGACCTGCCTGAATTTAGCTACAAATGAGACCTTCAGACCGATAGACCTTGTCCTAACGATTTTTAAATGTTGCTGAGGAGAGATTTCCTTTAATTTCGTTTGGCAGTCCGTTCCAATAAATGACATCTGCCTCTTTAAAGTTCCACTCAGATCTTTTGCTAATTGAAACTGGTTTCCTCCAAGTCTCGGACAAATTTCCCGTTTTCCCTAATGTTGTAGATCTACCTTGTATATCCCTTACGTAATATTGAACATCTCTATTGCATCCCCTCTAAATCTACGGTATTCCAATGAATGCAAATCAAATGCCTTCGTCAGTCCTTGTAATTTAAGCTGTCAAACCCATGAATCATTCTAGTTGCTTTTCTTTGCACTCTCTCCAACTTATCTTCACCTTTTCGGAGATTTGTTGACCAAGCCTGTTTACAGCATTCCTGGTGTGGCCTGAAATCAGCTTACAGTACAACTTTTTTAACAACACTCCTTTCTCTTGTAATAAGCATTGTTGTTGAAGGTCCCAGCATCCCAGGTGCCTTGCTCCTAGCAGCCCCACATTGTTTTTCAGCCATTAAATCCCTGGAGATTATAACCGCTAAGTCCTTTCCGTCCTTCGATCAGGTCGAATTCTCGCCCCCTCCGCCCACACTTTATAGCTTATGCTCTCGCTGCCAGAACTACCCACATGCATCCCTTGCACTTTTCGTACTTAAACGACATCTGCCACAGAGAGGCCCGGTTCACTAGCTTCTCTAAGCCAAGTTTCGCCGGTCTACATTTTGCATCACTTCTATCAATTTAATGTCGTCAGCAAATTTGGGCACCTTACTTATTAGACATGTTCTGAAAGTGTAAGTGTACACGACGAGTGCTGCCTCTGCAAGCAGAATTTCGAGACTGTTTCTTTTTTTTGTTCTGATAAAACTAATTGCATAATAACTTCGGACATTTACTTTCTGACTCTTGGCTGACACCGGCCACCAGACCACAAATTATCTGAAAAGCTCATGCATTCGTGTAAATCGTGCCATGCAGGCACTCATACCGAAAAAGAGCTGATTTCAAATATTTGTTCTATGCATCAATGAACCTAAACCGAAGCATTCATAACTACCATGGTGTCATGCGCACGACGGATTCGAAAACGGCGTACATTACTGTTCGCTTCATGGTCATGGCCTCAAGTAAGGCGACAGTCGCAGACTTAACCAGCCCAATGGCGTCGTGGCGTCGTGGGCAGCGCGA